TTTAAAAAATCAAATGCATTATGTATCAAGACACTGTTTAAAGTTTACATAACGTACTGGTTACTTGTAACGATACCATTGATATTGTGTTAAATGGAGCTCAGAGAATGAAACCTAAGCTTGATTCTCTACAGCTCATCCGATTCCAATTAAGCATTCCCTAAGGAAAGACAGCTGAAAAAATAACGCCATTTTGAAATCGAAACATTCAGTCTATTCCAATGCTGCCCTTGCAATTGTATTTCATTCTGTAACACTTTTCCAGTGAAGCATTTTATAACACACGCAAAATATTTCATATAAAGCGAAATGCGTTCTTAGGAATTTAATTTTGATGAAGCGTGAGCACGCCTGGTTTTGTACACGACAAGAGTTATTAAAATATTTCAATTTGGATCCAACCCGAGTTTGAACCGATACCAATTATGACAGATTTTTATATTCTTTTTTTTCTGAAAGAGATCTATACGTTATTTAATCGGTATTACATTTAACTTAAAAAATAAATTTCTAATTCTATACTACAAAATTTATGTTTTGTTACTGGTCATTAACAACTATGTATTTAAATGTTTGCTCGCGTAATACAAGTCGTATGTTGTAACTCAATATACAGTGACTCGTAACCTTCACAAAGGAAGCTCAAATGAAATTAAACTGTCCGTTGATTGACGAAGGGAACCGTTGTCCACAATAATTATGTTTCAGAGGAAACGTGTAAGATGAGAGCTCCTCGTGTATTCTAACAATTTATTTCTTCTACGATGCTACATTATACGATATGAAATTACGACTCTATAGAGAAAATTACCATCATTATTTGTTTTTTTTTTAAATAATAATTTCATATCTATAATCTATATATTATTATATAAAAATGAATTGCTGTTCGCTAGTCTCGCTAAAACTCGAGAACGGCTGGACCGATTTGGCGAATTTTGGTCTTGAATTATTTGTCCAGAGAAGGTTTAAAAGGTAAATAAATATGAAAATGCTCGGAATTAAATAAAAATAACAATTTTGTTTTTCCTTTGATGTGTCCCCCGTCGGACGGATTCCTTTTGTTTGTTTTAAGTTTATTTTATACAAACGTTTAGGACTTTTATTTATAGATTGAGGCACTACGAAGTCTGCCGGGTCAGCTGGTTGGAAATAATGACAGCTGATAAGTCCTGTTCTGTGATTATACGGAGATGGTACAGTGTTCTATGTTCTTCTTTCAAATTTGTAAATTGTAATTGTCTCTGACTATTCTACCAGGCTTTCATTAAGTACAAACAAGTATACAACAATTGAAAAGCTACTAATTCCGAGCACCCATTGACGAAGAATACAATGGCACTGTCGTAAGACAAACGGATGCAGCCATTTGACTTGTTGACTTCAATTAGGTAACTTAGCGTTACCCTCATCTTAGGGCATCTTTGAATAGTATCTTTTTATATATAATGTAAACCTTACCTGTCTTTTTTAAGGAAGGTACAACTAAGGCTTTTCTAATTTTACCAGGGCAGGTGTTCGAGCACAGTATCAGCCAGCAGGGGTCAAATTTGCTAACAACTGCCCGAGCTCCTCCGAAGGAGACCTAACAGCTCAATAGCAGCTGCTTCGCAAATATATTCGAAGTCGTCGTGGCCTAAAGGATAAGACGTCCGGTGCATTCGTGTTGAAGCGATGCATCGGCGTTCGAATCCCGCAGGCGGGTACCAATTTTTCTAATGAAATACGTACTCAACAAAATATGTTCACGATTGACTTCCACGGTGAAGGAATAACATCGTGTAATAAAAATCAAACCCGCAAAAATTATAATTTGCGTAGTTACTGGTGGTAGGACCTCTTGTGAGTCCGCGTGGGTGGGTACCACCACCCTGCCTATTTCTGCCGTGAAGCAGTAATGCGTTTCGGTTTGAAGGGTGGGGCAGCCGTTGTAACTTACTTGAGACCTTAGAACTTATATCTCAAGGTGGGTGGCGCATTTACGTTCTAGATGTCTAAGGGCTCCAGTAACCACTTAACTCCAGGTGGGCTGTGAGCTCGTCCACCCATCTAAGCAATAAAAAAAATATTAAAAAAACTAATGCCGGATCGGAATCGCGACCTGCTGAGAAGAACCGGCGAGAAACTCGGCGGGCTGATGTGTAGGTTGGGTTGTACGTCGAACTCTTTGGCAAGTTCGACGAGTACGGCTACCAAGGTCTTTAAGTCTGCTCCTAGTGCTAGAGCTGCAGGTGTTTGTTAATAGTCTTAGTGGATCAGATGGATCCGTTAATCCGATGACCGGCTTCTGTGTAAGCCAGAGTCGCGGATTTATCAGCAGCGCCAACGATGAGGCGATTATCTAGACTTTCTAGACGCATGGCCTTACTGAAGTGCCGTTCCGACGCTCTGACTTCAGGTGTTTCCTGATGGATTCAAGGCCCAGATGGTTATGTAGGTCAACCTTCCTTAAGAAGCACGGTGCTCCGACGGCTAACCTCAAAAACGTGATTGGAGGGATTGGAGGGTGTCTATGTGGGCCCGGCGCCTCAGCGAACACCACACTCGCGTAATACATTACGTATGATTATATGCAAGTTTTTTAAAGGGTCACTTTGTTACGAAGACACATTTTATTCCTTACAAATCATGAGATAGTCTGCCGAGGATATACGCGGTATGGTCGTAAACAGACTTAGTGTGGGCGGAATGTCATGGATGCATCCAGGATGAATCTCAGATACTTGACGTTCCCGGCTCTGGCCAAAGAGAGTGATCGGGGTTGTAAGATTTGTACGTCTAATTCGGGAGGAGATTCGCATTTAACTTTCCTACCTGTAATATAAAGCTGTAATATGAGTTTACTAAAAATTTAATAAAACTTAACGATTTTCAAGTAAGTAAGTATCTAAAGTTTGGCCTTCCAATTAGATGCCTTCTTATACTGTAATTAACGAACTCTTCTCGAATTAATACTTAAGCCTTTCATGAAAATTGATTCATAACAAGTTTCTACTCCCCCCATATCTTGACTACCCTTATTCACAACTCGTGATTTGATTATCTTGTTAACGGTTTACGCCTATCGGAACTTTGTGTGAGTTCAATTTTACGCAATTTTTTTCCCTTTACTTTGTAGATTTTTTACTATTTTCCAGAGAAATAAATTTGTTATCTTAATTACGAAAACGTTGCGAATGACGATAGTGCAGTTAGAACATAGAAACTAATCTACCTATTTTTATTTCATGCTAGCATGTGTTTAACATCATCTTATAAACGTTATATATTTTTCAGAACGTAATAAGTACTATTCTCGAAACCCTGACTTAGAAACAATAATATTTAAAACATAAAATATTCTAATACAAATTCGTTTGCTATTTCTAGACTTCAGGTCCTGGATGTAACGCATCATTCTTGTTGAACGCGCAGTGAGCTTTGCATCTCCACGCAACAATGGCAAAAAAACTTGATAGAAAATACGATAGAATTATACTGGTTTTTGGTATCTGGCCGTACGGTATGGGATGGGCATGGGATACTATGGACCCAAATAGTAGGTGGAGCATAACCGAACAAAATATAAACATATAATAATAATAAAACTCTTCAATAATAAATACATATAAACAACGAATAAAATAACCGTGTTCAGTATGTCTTACTCATAGCTGCCCGATTTCGCATGAATACAGTGCTTAAATTTTACAGTATTTATATGTTACATATCTATCTAGATTTAATTTAAAACTAAATGATTCTTCCTTCAAATTTAGCGAGCTTCCCATTTAAACCTACACTCCCTAGTTCCTAATTGAAAATTTGAAAAACCCTCATATATGTCTACATTCATTTCTAACCAGAAGCGGTTACATGTAATTTTGTGAAAATGACAGACTTCCATACAGCCGTTGTTCATCCCTTATTCAAGTTTGTAGGCCCAGCGGCTTAGGCTCTGCGTTGATGAATCAGTCAGTCAGTCGGGACTATTCATTATATATGTATGGATTGATAAAACTAGAGGGGCTGTCTGAAAGTGCTGCGTAGATATCTAGTTTATTATTCAGAGCAATTAAGTGCGTGGTTTGTAAATACATAGATTTAAATACCGCTGATCTGAAGTCCAATCCTTGTATTTTATGATTAGAAGTTATGAAAAAAAAAGAATAATAATAATCAATGAAAACGAATGACTTGTTTATCTCGCTGTTTTAAGGGCTAGTGTACTAGATAATTGTACCACGTTGACCGGGTTCGAATCCATACAAGAGCTAAATCTCTGTCAACTATATCAACTACAATCATGCCTATCAGTCACTAAGGAGAAATCCGTATCAACCGATCTACATCTATGTAAAACACTTTACTTTCAAAACAATTTTACCCATAATAGAAAGTGGGCAATTCAAATACTATCCAGTTATGAATGGCCAACCAAGTGAGTCACAGTTAACAACCAGATGGTCAGGATTACAATTCTGATTCACGATCATTTATCGCATCTGTTAACTGTGTTATGCAAATCGAAACAATATGTAAGAATTATGCACTTAGCCGTATCACAGTTGCACAGCGAGAGTAAATTACCCTAATAAGCTCAAAGCTTTAAAATAAATAGGTATATCTTGAATGTAAATTTTGTATAGACAGCAATAATTTTCTGTACAACATAAATTAGGACCTACTATATAGTAATTCTCTAGTAGTGTTTGTAAGAAGAATTTATGTCTTCGTTCGTATTATTATATTCACAATTAACAGGACGTTTTCGTAGATTGTGTATCTACGAAACAAATACGAGATAAATACGCAACCGGTTTTCGTAAATGTCAACAAACTTACAACCACCGCAACGACTAAACAACTTAAAACGAACTAATTTATAACAACGGCTACTCATCACTATAAGTTTTAATTATGAGGTAATATACTAAATTACTGTATGCAGAAAACTTTTGAGTGCCAAGTTCAAAAACTTGTCTTGTTCCGTTTTTATGTAACATAAAGTTTAAGTATACCTGAGAGAGATCTGCGTCTTCCTTCAACTTTTCAGCGACAGTCATCTTCCTGTCAGCCACAACGAGTCCGACGCACATCACTAGTAACAAAATACACGGCCCCATAATTGCAAGAAAACATCCAAATTTTCACAGCACACTCGCGGAGTACATGTGCGGTATTCGGAGTTCGGACGGGCGAAGGTAGGGAATGCGCGGCGGTAAATGCCGGGTGGAGAGTCGAGGCAACGCGTTGACGCACTCAGACCGTGTTTCTTTCCCGCTCGCTCACGGTGCGACCGTTGTTATTACTGGTCATCATCGTGACCGTTGGATTTCGAATAATGATCACGAATTATTGATGGCTTTAAAATATTTCGTTTCTATTATTAGTAAGATTAATAAGACCACTCGTTAAAATGTAATTCGAAGATTAAACAAAAAACACGAAATAGAGATGTTCAGTTTATAATTTAATAACCATGCTACAAATGTTTTTTTTTATAATTGAGAGATTACTGGTGGCCCGAAGGCCTTTCCAGTTTCACCAGGACAGGTGGGCGAGCAAAGGCTCAGCCAGGAGGGGTGGGATTTGCTAACAGCTGCCCGAGCGCCTCCGAAGGAGACCTAACAACTCAAGAGCAATTGCTTCGCGAATGAATCTACTACCGGATCGGAATCGCGACCCGCTGAGAAGATCCGGCGAGAAACTCAGCAAGCTGATGCATGGGCTAGGTTGCACGTCGACCTCTTTGTCGAGTTCGACGAGTACGGTTACTGGGGTCCGTAAGCCTGCTCCTAGTATTAGAGCTGAAGGCATCTAATGCTAAGGTTATTGGATCTGATGGATCCGTAAGGACGTGTCTAGGGCGTCGACGGTGACTGGCTCCTGCATGATCAGGATTCGGTGAGTAGTCAGCGGCGGCAATGATAAGGCGATTATCATGACACATAGCCTTACAAATGATTTAGTTCAGTACACGAATCTTAACGGTACCCACGAAATTTCTATTAGGTGGTTTAATTACTACAATAGTTAAACACGAAAGCGTACGCAATTATGTCGAACTGAAAGAAACTTTATCAATTGCTTGTCTCGCAGTGGTTCGCCAACACACACTCTAACTTCAAATATAACTTTGATTAACTTAAAGCTATGATCTTTACTGAAATGACAATGAGAATCTCTGATTTATAATATTATTGTATAACACAAAAAAAATTGTCTTAATATTTTATCTACTGTATCCATTGAGTTTTTTTTTAAATAATACTTATCCGTATTGTTATGTAATATGTATCTGATCTTATAGAAACAGGATTTGTTTTTTTCGTCGTTTGGTGTTTATACCTGCTCGTCAAAAGCCGGCTCCATCGTTTCTATACGACGTGACGGAAACCGATTATTGCCCATTGTTTCCCCGCCGTCGTGGTGATTCTTACTTTCTCCGGATTTTATTTTTTATCATTATTGTCGTATCTCTATTTTCTTATTGTACTAAAATCACCGTGAAAGTAACACTTCTATTTATCTCCGAATTGTTGGTTGCCAGTTAAAACCATTAAGAGCTCTTTGCGACTGTCAAGCTCTATGTGGTTTCTACCCGATCCTGTAGACCGAATGGTAAGCAGTCGACGTCACCCTAAGCACGTCAGTACGGATCCTCCCGATCCATTAACGGTGCTTTTAGGTACCACAGAACCGGTCACCGTCCTCGCCGAGCCCGTCACTTGCGACGAAGGGCTCGACGAGTTAATTAACCCACTGAGTTTCGCGCCGGATCTTCTCAGCGGGTCGCGTTTCCAATCCGGGGGTTCATTCTGCGAACCACTGTTCTTGCTAGGGCCAGTGTTAGCAACACTCCCGGTTTGAGCCTCGTGAGCTCACCTACACGTCAAGGCGAAGCTGAAATAGCCTCTCAAGGCTATCAGCATGGGTAGGGAAAAATGTCTGATTAGTATTCAGATTTGTTTGCAAATTTATTGTAATTAGATAATGTATAAGATGTTTGTAATTTATACATCCGTAACTACAGAAAGGTAAGTTTTTTGTTTAGGAAGGAAGGAAGGATTACTGGTGGCCCGGGATTTTCCCAGTTTCACCAGGATAGGTGGGCGAGTACGGGCACAGCCATGAGGGATGAGATTTGGTAACAGCTGCCCGAGCGCCTCCGTGAGGAGACGTACTTAACAACTCAAAGGCAGCTGCTTCGCGACTGAAATGTAATAAAGTATTAGAAACTTCGGAAACAATAGAATAACAATAAAAAACGTGACAAAAAATCGTAAAAGTAGTTCTAAATTAATAGGCTGCAATGTTGTAATCAGGGTAACATAAAAATTGACTAATTTAATTATATATTTTTATGCAAGAGTGATAAAAATATACATTTTTTATTTATTTAACTTTACATAGATAGTAGATATCACAGAGTGAGTGCCGTTTTCGACCTGGAGACATGATATAGAAGCCTCAATTTTTATTGAGTATTAAAATTGTCCCACCCATTAAACCAGAATGCACGACAGCGCCAGAGCACATGACTGCCGCCCCGCCTATCGATAGAAATAAACGAGGCTAACTGTCCGGATTCGAAATGCACCTTGCCATTACTAATTATTTAAAAATTTAATTAAAAAATATAAAATAATACAATAAAAATAATTTAATTAAAAAAAAAACGAAAATTTATAAAAAAATATATCTGTCTGTTTAAATCACACAAGACATTATTTTTTCATAGTACGTGCTTACTGAGCACATGTTAGCTACGTGCTATTTAGAAAAATTAGTAAATGCCTGAAATTTGGGACATGGTGGTGTACTCGATAAAAATTGTATCGAACATCTGTATAATATAGATCAAGCGTCTTATCCATTTGGCCGCGGGTGCTTACGAACTATAGCTATAGGTATAATATTTGGAAGGCTAAGGAAATTCTGAGAAATTTATATTTTCTGTGATTTTAAACACAAAAACTTCTGAAATTTATGAAACTCGTTTACAAATTAAGACAGATTTCATCGCAAAACATGTTTGACGAGTTAGATATAAAAGCGACATAAAATGCATTCAAATCCGTCGTTAAAATAACATGACAATGTTCATATTGTAGACCTATCAATCAGGCACACAAAGCGTTTTACCGTGCATTTCAAATGAAGCTCTTTGATGTCAGCTATCCCATTAGTGAAATTGCAAAGAAACTAAACCTACTGCATGACGTCAACACAGGCTTACTACTGAATTAACTTCCCAATGTCTTATTCCAATAAAATAAGATACATTTTCAATAAAATACCCTCTCGTGTATTTTCATTTAAATACACTCCTAATAGTTCCCGTCAGAATAATTATTGCACTTGCATTATTATAGAAGCAGAGTTACAAATTAATGATAAGTATATTTAAATAATAGAGACAGTTATGTCGATTTTAAAGTCTATGTGTGATTGCACAGGATACAAGACCTTATCATTGCGTTAATAGGGGCGGATACGAGTCCCTTTGTGCAAGTAAAAGCAAATTCTGCTTTGGATCTGGTATTTCGATGTGACCTTTTGAAATTAGGTTCGTATCGTAGTTCGTACTACCTATTCGGTAAATTTATTTTACCGATGCGAATTTTAATTGGACTGATTTTAGTTCTGTACATTGTTTTCCTATTATTGATTGTATCGTCTAACAAAATTCATCAAGTAAAACACTAACTGAAATGCATTTGTGATTAAAAACAGTTAAAAATTCTGAAGCATAACGTCATAACTGATAATAACAAAAATTAATGGTATGCCGATTTACAATCACTTATCTTTTCTTTTGGGATTGACTTTTAGACTACAATATTAAATAAATCATTTAAGAAATGCTATTCAAAAACTTTATGCGTACTTTATTCTATTATAATCGATACTCTCCTTCCTATTCTATTTGACACACCCTTACTTATAATCTAAGCAGAGACGTGGACAGTTCACCTATTTCATGAACATACGGTTGCTAAGCCAGCTACTCGTACAGAACGAGCTATGCTCGGTTGAAGCTTGTCTTAAATATATAAGCAAAACAGGATTCAGAAATTAAGCAGATAACTGCAATGATATAACTCATAAAACAGTAAGTTGAAGTTTTTTTTTTCCTTTCTTTAGCACTTTTGATCAGTCGCCAAGATTATAATCAGGTGAGTTGCGAGAGATCATGATTTGGAGGGGTAGAGCCAATGCTCTCTCTCGCCTTAGTAGGAAAGCACGTCAGCTCTCTTGAGTCTTCTAATCGGCTATGGCTGCGAGGGCATACTGGACAATGGGTTTGGGTGAACTGTCAAACGTAAGTTGGCTGAGTATCGTTTAACTTTATCCAGTATGTTTGGATTTCTAAGTAAGTAAGTTTCTAAGTAAGTCGCTTCATTAGGATCACTGCTACAACTGAGGAAGGCTGCATCATCGGCAAAGGTTGCTACAGCTATATCTAGTATATTATATATAGCTATAGCTATATCTGTGAATGGGGTAGACCACTAGTAAACAAAATTTACATGACCGGACCAAGTACGGAGCCTTGGGGCACTCCGACTCTGTAGGCAAAAAGAGAAAATCTGGTATCACAGAGCTTGACGTGAAACTTTCTTGCAATGAGATAAGACTCTACCAGCAAAAAGTAAGAATGTGGAAGGTACTTTTCAATTTTGTAGAGCAGACCTTGATGCTAAACCCGGTCAAAAGCTTGTTGTACTCCTTCCTCTCCAGACAATATCTTATTGTACAATACACACTGTGTACCTGCTCTATGGTTGAGTGGTGTTTCTGGAAGCCAAATCGGTGACCAGGTATTAAATGGCTCATATCTAGACAAGGGGATAATCGTGCCGAGGTGATCCTTTCCCACAACTTTGACCTAAAACCGCCATCAGGCTAATAATAATAATAAGAAGAGACCTCATTAGGCAGTTTACCAGGCTTTTGGATCATAACAATTTGAGATGTTTTCCCGAGTGGAGCGAAATGCGAGTAAGTTGAAGTGGCATTTTTTTCCTACCTAATCGTTGGTTATCTGCGGACTGTTTCAGTGACCATTGATCATCCTTTAGGTGATTAGGTGGGTCGTATGCTCGTTTGAGTACGACAACAAAAAATAATAGTACATCTTCTGAAATTTTTTGGGTACCCGCGCTAACGAGATAAAGCTAAAAATGGAAAAGATTCGCTAAAC